AAAGTCATAAAAAAGTCATAGTATAGTAAGGCATAAAAAGTCATAGTATAGTAAGGCGTAAAAAGGTCATAGTATAGTAAGGCAAAAGAAGTCATAAAAACGTCATAGTATGGTAAGGCATAAAAAATCATGAATACGACATAGTATAGTAAGGCGTAAAAAAGTCATAGTATAGTAAGGCATAAAAACGTCAATAAACATCATAGTATAGTAAGGTAAAAAAAAACATAAAAAAGTCATAGTATAGCAAGGCAAAAAAGTCATAAAAACGACATAGTATAGTAAGACGTAAAAAGGTCATAGTATAGTAAGGCATAAAAAGTCATAGTATAGTGAGCCATAAAAAGTCATACTATAGTAAGGCATAAAAAGTCATAAAAAGGTCATAGTATAGTAAGGCATAAAAAGTCATAATAACGACATAGTATAGTAAGGCATAAAAAGACATAGTATAGTAAGGCATAAAAAGTCATGAGAAAGTCACAGTATAATAAGGCATAAAAAGTCATAAAAATGTCATAGTGTAGTAAGGCAAAAGAAGTCATAGTATAGTAAGACATAAAAACGTCAATAAACGTCATAGTATAATGAGGCATAAAAACGTCATAGTATAGTAAGGCGTAAAAATGTCATAGTATAGTAAGGCAAAAAAAGTCATAAAAACCACATAGTATAGTAAGGCATAAAAAGTCATAAAAACGACATAGTATAGTAAGGCATAAAAAGTCATAAAAATGTCATAGTATAGTAAGGCATAAAGAGTCATACTATAGTAAGGCATAAAAAGTCATAGGATAGTAAGGCATAAAAAGTCATAAAAAGGTCATTGTATAGTAAGGTATAAAAAGTCATAAAAACGTCATAGTATAGTAAGGCATAAAAACGTCAATAAACATCATAGTATAGTAAGGAATAAAAACGTCAATAAAGTCATAGTATGGTAAGGCTCAAAATGGTAATAGTATAGTAAGGCATAAAAACGTCAATAAACGTCATAGTATAGTAAGG